GCCCCCGCCCAGGGCGCGCGCCGGGGGCGGGGCGGGGCGCCGAGGGCGCGGCCCCCGGACGGGAAGGCGCGGGGCGGCTCCGTGCGCTGCACCTGTCGGCGGCGCCGCTCGGCCCGCGGCAGGAAGGAGCCGCGGAGGGAGGCTCCCGGGGCGCTGTGGGAAATGGAAGCCTGCGCGGCGGTCGGTTCCGCCGCGGTGACGTGTGGAAACAGCCGATCCGCCGCCGCGGTGTAACCCTGGCCGGAGGCTCTCCTCTGTTAAGCAGCCGGTTGAAGGCGCTGACCTGAAAACCGGGTTTACCGGGAGACCTTTCGTGCTCCGATCGCCCCGACCGGGGAGATCTGGACCTTTGGGAGAGGGATTTCAAACGTTAGAAAGACCGGATGCCTCAGGGCTGGGCACGGAGGCCGAGGCAGGAGGATGATCACGGGCCAGCCTGGCCTCCAGAGTGAGAGTTCTAGGCTATTCCGCTCACAGAGGAAGATTTTTATTTGAAGAACGCAGATGACAATGAATCAAATAAATACGCCTCCGGAATCTTTCCTTCTAGGCACTGAACGCATAGCTTCCACACAGGGTAGGCAAGCACTCTGCCCCTGAACCACACCCCAAGCTCAAGCTCCTTGTTTTTGTTTCTGCTTTTTTTTTTTTTTAATGAAAATTGTGGCTTTCTCCATTCTGTTGTTCTCTCTCTAGTATGGACCTATGTTTAAATCAAGGGAAACAGTTATTTCTAAAAGCATTTTTTTTTTAAATAGAAACCTGTAATAAGTTTTGGGAGAGCCAAAACTTAATATCCAAAACTCAGCGGAGAATGTCATGCTGGACAAGCACTGTGCCATAGACATTACACTGAGAGCCACTGGGTGGAATTAAAACAAGGGAAATTAATGCACCTCATCACACTTAACCCAATATATCCAGAATACGGTAATTTCGCCATGTAATGAATTTTTTTTTTCCGAGACAGGGTTTCTCTTGGCTGCCCCGGACTTGATTTGTAGACCAAACTCACAGAGATCTGCCTGCCTTTGCCTCCCTGAGTGCTGGGATTACAGGCGTGGTCCACCCGGCTCATGCAATGAATTTTAAAAATGTTACTGAGGGCTCTGGCAGTGGTGGTACAGTCCTTTAATCCCAGCACTGGGGAGGCAGAGGCAGGGGAATCTCTGTGGGTTTGAGGCCAGCCTGGTCTACAGAGTGAGTTCTAAGACAGCTAGGGCTACACAGAGAAGCCCTGTCTTGCAAAAATAAAAAAAAAAAAAAAAGGAAAAAGTGTTAACGAGATATTTATTAGATGGACTCAATGTGATTTGTATGTTTACAGCCCACCTCCATTCTGACTGTCCTCATTTCAAGTGCTTATTGCTCACACATGGCTAATGGCTATTGTATTGGGCATCACAGTTTGGGATACTCAACCTGCGCTGTTTTCCTCTGAATCCTACATGCTTTTTAGAAAGGCAGATTAGAAAGATGCAATCCTCTATGAGTCTTTAAAGCCAGGCCTAGTGGCAGGTGCCTGTAATCCCAGCACTGAGGGAGGCTGAGGCAGGCGGATTGCTGTGAGTTTGAGGCCAGCCTGACAAGTCCAGACAGCCAAGGCTACACAGAGATACCCTGTCTCTAAAAACGAGAAAAACTAAACAAAACTTATTTGGGGACTGGAGAGATGGCTCAGCGGTTAAGAGCACTGACCCTCTTTCGGAGGACCCGAGTTCAGTTCCCAGCACCCACATGGCAGCTCACATCTGTCAGTTACTCCAAGATCTGACATCCTCACACACATACATGCAAGCAAAATACCAGTGCACATAAAACAAGAATAAAAAGCTATTAAAAACAACAAGAACAACAAAAGAATGTTCCTGACCCTGTATACAGCTAAGAATCGGCAGAGCTGGCTTTGGGACCCAGTTGTTTCTTTTCTCTCCTTGAGAACTTTACCACAGCTTTCTTCTTCATAATTCTGCCATTTTGTTTTATTCTAATCCAGCTGTGTATCAGCTCCTCAAAATGTTACCATTGTGAAAAAGCCCAAAAGGCTTCCTCACGTCAAAGCAAAATTGATTTATAACCACTTCAGGCTGTCCATGAGCTATTTTCTCAGACTTCTTTCCTACCCTTTAACATAAATTCTCCAGTCTAACCCGTTTACCGTCTAGCCCTTACATTGCTTTTTACCATTGCTTAGGAATTAGTGCCAGAATGGCTTCCTCCTCATTTTTTTTTTTTTCAAACTCGTGCCCCTCCCTTCCTCACCTTGCCAGGCAGAGCCCTCACTAACTCCACCCAGCTCTAGCCCTTTCTGATTAGCTACAAGAACTCACTTTGCTGATTAATTTGGAATTGTTCTTATGATTTGTAATTGAATATTTAGGGGTTTTGTTTTTGTTTTTTTAGATCTTGGCAAGATAAATACTAGCAAGAGCTGGCTTGCTTGTTTGACTTTTGACTGTGTGTGTGTGTGACAGAGTCCCACTCCATAGCCCATGCTGGGCTCAGTATATAGCCTGGCTGGAAAGAACTTTCAGCAGTTTTTCAGCCTCCCTCCTCCCAGGTGGTTACAGGTATGCGTCACCACCAGTTTTCTTATTTTCCTTTTCTCCTCCACTTCTTTTCTTTCTTGCTTTCTTTTTAAGACAGGGTCTCGCTATATAGCCCTGGCTAGCATGGAATTATCTATGTAAACAGGCTGGCTCCTAGCCCTCAAAGATCTGCCCACCTCTGCTTTTCCACACGTTAGGATTAAAGACATGAGCCACCATGCCATGTTTCTTTTATTTTTATTTTATGTAATTTATTTTTTTTGAGACAGCATCACACACTGAAGCCCCAGATGGCCTTAAAATTCATAGTTATCCTCCTGCCTCAGCTTCCTGGGTGCTGGGATTACAGACTTAAGCCAGCACATTTAGCTTTCTCCTTTTTCTTTCTGCTTCATTTACTTTTTAAAGAGCTCATTCACTGGTTCTTTTATTGCTTTCAGTACTAGGCCCTGAACAAAGTACATCTCACTTGTTACTGAGCTGACTCACCATAAGAGAATATATTATTCAGTCTGTGTTGTCTTTCCTGTACAAGATCTGTGCCCCACAGAGAAACTAAGACTATAGACAATCTTCTTTTATTAAATCACAGAGTTAAAAAAAATGAAAATGCAAATGGGCTGGGGTATAAGCTTAGTGGTGGACTACTGGCCAGCCATGTGCTTAAAAGGTCCTGGGTTCAATTCCTAGTCCCCCACACTCCAAAAATCAACTTCAGTCATTGGTGATTTTGAACTTGCTGAGAAGGAAGCCAATAACCCTATTCAGCCCCATCCTTGATCCCATAACGGAGCAGATTTCAGCCTATCAGGCCATTTCCTACCTGGGACTGGCTACTTTCTAATAGGCACTCCATCAAGGCTTCTCTAAAACAACTGAAATGGAAAACTGCAGGGCACTTAGAAATTCTCCACGGAGCTTGCGACAGAATAGGAAAGCCAATGATGACACAAGATCATCAGCCTTTTACCAGATTTCTAGGTATCTGTTTACCAAGACCTTAAAAATGTACAAATTAAAAAAAAAAAAATCCTCTTCTAGTCCATAAGCTTCAATAAAAAGTTAAAGAGGCCCGGCAGGATGGTTCAAGCCTGGCATCCAAGCCTCTCGACCTGAGTTCAGTCCCAGAACCCACAGTGGGGGAAAGAACTCAAGTCCTTTAAGATGTCCTCTGACCTCTACTTGTCCTGCGACACAAACACACACACACACCACGACAACCTACAGACACATGGGGTGGGCCTGTAAGAAAGGAAAATGTAAAGATGTAAAATTAAAAGTTAAGAAGGCCAGGAATGGCGGCTCCTAGCTGTAATCCAACTCCTTAAGAGGGCTGGGACAGAAGGATTGCCACAAATTTGAAGCAAGCCTGGGCTACGTAATGAGTTTCAGGCAAGCCTGAGCTATCTTCCAAAACAAACAAACAAAAAAACAGCAGCAGCAACAACAAAAGAGAAAAAAGAAAAAAAAACGCTACCATGTTGCCTGCGTTAGCCAGGTGTGAATGGTGCAATTCTAATTCCAACACTTGGGAAGTGGAAACACTAGTATCAGAAGTTAACGGGGTCATCCTCTCTGCCATTAAAAAAAAAAAAAAAGACAGGTATAGTGTCTTATACCATTAATCCTAGCTCAGAAGGTAGACAACGGTGGGTCTCCGGACGTTCAAGGCCAGCCTGCTCTCCTTAGTGAGTTCCAGCACAGCCAGGGCTGCACAGAGAAACCCAGTCTAAAGAAACCCAAAACAATAATAAATACATGAAAATTTAAAAGGCTAAGGAAATAGGGTGGGGATATAGCTCAGCAGTGTAGTGCTTGCTTGCCCTGAGCTCAGCGCAAATTTGTCCTTAGGACAAAAGGAGATAATTTCAGTGTCATCTGACCAAGAACAAGTCATATTTCCTGCCTTGGTTTCACAATCCAAAAATGACATATGTGTTTCAATTGTGGCTTGAAATCTTCTGTGAAGAAGTCTTACCATTTTTGTAATATGAGTGGGTAAAGGGCTAGCACAAAGGATACATAAAGGAAATGCAGATGACTGA